TGCCTACAAGACCAGAAGGAATATGAGTCCAGTCCTGGATTTCTGGTATTCCTTGTTCCCACTGCATTTGGGAAGTGCCCAGGTCAGGTCCATGTCCACGTTCTGCCTGTGCCCCATCCCAAAATACGTGACCAAGAGCTTGGACCTGCTCTCCATTCCCTCAGGAAGTTTGAGCTCCCTGCTCTCCTCTGTTTTTCTGCATGCCAAAAAAAGGGATTGTAGGATCAAGGAGGAACCTAAACCAGCTCATCCAGGAGCCCCAAAGGGTTGTGCCACCAACGCCCCTGGGATTGTGTTTATTCTGTGGGAAGAGGAAAGGTTGGAGCAGCCTGACCCCAAACCAACCCCCCCTGCACGTGGCTGCAGACTCTGCCTCCTTCCTACAGAGCTTCCAGGGAGCAGGGAAGCATTCCCAGGGAATCAGGCAGGGCTCAGGGGAGGCTGTGACACGTCAGGTAATCGGGGAGCTCGTGGGACACAGAGGGATTTGAGGAACTGCTTCCCCCTTTCTGCGGCGCAAGACGCGAAACGAGCCAAGGATTTCCCGGAGAAGCCGCAGGATTCGGAGCCCTGATCCCCACCCTGCTGCACCAGGACACAACTTCCTCATGGAACAAGCTGCCACATGTTAAGGCTCTGGCTCTGGACACGGTTTTGCAGGATTCAAGCACTGGAGAACAGGAATATCCAGGCTGTCTCCTCCAAATTTTCCTCTGGACCTCTGGGAAGCAGTAGCAAGAGCTGGCACTAACCGGAAAACCTGGAAAAGGCACCTTCTCCCGGCATTTTTCCTGCCAATCCTCGCATTCCTCAGGGCTTAGTTGTCCAGGAGACTTCCAGGAGAGGTTGAGGAGGAGAGACACCGGAGCCAGAGGCTCCAGGATTGCAAACAGGGAACACAAAGCAGGTGGAAACCTGGAATAATCCAAGTTTCTGGGTTCCATAACATCCATTTCCAGGCACTAGACTTTGCTTCCTCCCAATTCCCAGATCCCTGCACGTGACCTCCCTTTATCAGGGAAGTGTTGGCACACGGGGTTATGTGGGAAGTGATAAGAAAGAGATAAAAAAGCCCTTTATCTGCCCATTCTTTGCCTCACAACCCTCAGGCACAGAAAGAGGTGCCAAAAAACATGGATTTATCACCCCCAGGTCTGCTTTAGCCGTAGCCAACCGATAAGATGCTCCAGACAAGGACTTTCCCTGCTCTCCCTCTGTTCCAAACCCACACTGAGAGGGAGAAAACCTGATTTTTTTGGCCTGTTTTAAACCCCTTTCCCAGTAATTCAAGCCCCTGATTTGTTGTTCTGCCTCCCCAGCCCAGCAGAGAAACTTCTCTCCTTTTTTCTGCAGCCACTTCACCCAGGTTTAAAGCCTTTTGTCTCTTCTCAGGCAGCTCCAGACTAAACAGTTCTCATTCCTTAACTCTTTCCTCGTAAATCCCAAGCCAAATTCTTCCAAACACCTCTGTTTTTCCACACCAGACTCCCAGTCTGGTCCCTGCCTTCTCCTGTGATCCTGTTCCAGGGCCTTGCTTTTCATGGGAATGTTCATCTGCAGGAGGAACTTTTCCTTCCAGATGCACGAAAACCCAAAGAAATAATCGGTGTTACCCTAATTTAGGTGCCCAGGGCAAGGAAAGGGCACAGGAATTGAGCTGGAAGGATGAGAGGAATTTCCAAAGTGGATGAGAGGAATTTTCAAAGTGGATGAGAGGAATTTTCAAAGTGGATGAGAGGTGACGCTTAAGAAAAACCTGTGTGTGAAAAGCAGCTTTTCCTTGATGTCTGCAACTGGACTCCTGGAATTTGCCGGGGTTTAGACACCTAATTCAGGCTCTGAGCAGGGCCAAACGTTTTAAGATCTGGCTGGAGCCAGATCCAAAGCTTTCTTCACTTCCAAAGGGTTCATTCCTCCTCTGTCACTGGTGCTGCAACACAAGCCAGGCAGGAAAAGGTTGGAGCAATCCCTGAAAGACAAACTCCAGGAATTGCTTCTTGGTTTATCCAGTGACTGTGCAACTTTGTGTGAAGGTACCCGTGTCCTGGGCTCCCCCCTGCTGGCTTTTGCACTCCCTTTTTCCCTTAAAAATCTGGGATATTGCTGGAAGAAAGGGCTATTTTTGAAAGCCTGAAGTGAACAGAGCACTGAATGTTCAGGGGATGCGGCTCCAACTGCCCGTGATTTCAGAACCGGTTCAATCAGTACTTTTTTCCAGTCAGGTCTAGGCCTTTCCACTTTCCCTTCCCCATTCCCAAGCCTTGCCATCCCTCACATCAGGGTGGGGAAGGTGAAATTCCCAAAAAACCAGCCCCCGACCTGGCAGGTTCCCGTCCCCTCCCGGCGCCCCGGGAACGCGCTGCCCTTGGCGCGGTGGCTTCGCGGCTGCCAAAGATGACATTTCCAGCTGGAAAACATTCCCGGCTTGTCCCCAGGGACCTCCCAGGCAGCTCCTGCACGTCTCCTCCTTGGCATTCCAGCTGTGGCTTGGCCGGGATCGGGGATGGTTGGGGATGCTTTGGGGACAGACCGTGAGACCCCCCGTGCCAGGGCAGGTCAATGACACGGCCCAAACCGAGAGGGACGACCCCAAACCGCCCCATCCCCCAACCCATCGGACCAGGCGATGATCCACAACCAGGCTCTGTTGGCACATGGATGAGGAGCCCCAGACCTGGGAATGCCCCCCGAGCTGGGAGGGGGATGGTCCAAGACCGCTCAGGATCAGCCCCAAGTACCGCCCCCATCCCAAATCCCCCCATAATGTCCCGGATCCGCCCTGGCACCGCTGCTGCTTCCTCCCGTCACAAACCCTGAGCCCGGTGTTGTCCCCATCCCAGGGACGCTCATCCCGATCCCATTCCAGCCCCATATCCCCCTTCTCGCCCCCCAACCCCTCCCCGCGGCCCCGCACCTGGCCAGCAGCTCCAGGAACACCACGTTGCTGCAGCAGCCGCCGAACACCAGCCCCACCGCCAGGGCCGGGTGCATGGTGTCGCTCCGGGCAGCGAGGCCACGTCCCGGGCCACCCCCGCATCCCGATCCCGGGATCCTGCCCCGCTCCCGGCCCCGGCCCCGCCGCCCCCGCTTCCTCCGCCCGCCGGTAGTTCGCTCCCCGCCGGCAGCCGGGACTACAACTCCCGGCAGCCTTCGCGCCGCGCCTCAGCGGCTCCCTGCGGGCCCATCTTCGCGGGGCATGATGGGAGTTGTAGTTCGGCGGTGACGCCGTGATGGCGGCGCGGAGGTGGTGGCAGGAGGAGGCGGGAGGGGAGGGAGACTCTTTGCAGGGAGGAACGGCCGGGAATTGACTTTTTGGGGTTATTTGGTGCCGATTAAAAGCAGCTCGCGATGAGTCTGCGCCAAATAATTATTGGTGAATAGTCATAGGTCCAAATAATATGTTCAGAATAATGGTTGTTATTGAAAGGCTGGGAGAGCTGGGAATGTTCACCTGGAGAAGAGAAGCTTCCAGAGAGGCCTGAGAGCCCTTTGCAGGGCCTAAAGGGGCTCCAGGAGAGCTGGAGAGGGATTTGGGACAAGGCCTGGAGGGACAGGACACAGGGAATGGCTTCCCAGTGCCAGAGGGCAGGGATGGATGGGATATTGGGAAGGAATTGCTGTCTGGGAGGGTGGGGAGGGGCTGGAATGGATTTCCCAGAGAAGCTGTGGCTGCCTCTGGATCCCTGGAAGTGTCCAAGGCCAGGTTGGAGCAACCTGGGCTAGTGGAAGGTGTCCCTGCTCATAGCACTGGATGATCCTTAAGTTCCCTTCCAGCCCAAACCATCCTGTGATTCCATGAAATTCAAGTTTCCCAAGAAACCAAAACCCATCCTTAAAAACTGGTGCCTCACAAGAGCTGTTGCTCTTCAGCTCCAGGGTCCCTCCAGCTGCTCTGTGGAAGCTGCTGGGCGTCCTTTTACAGATTTCCCTGTAATTTCAGGCTGGATCTGTCCATTACTCACCAGTAATGAAAATTCCTCAGGACAAACAGCTCCAGGGTTTTATTGACTTGTCAGAGCTCACAGAAAATCAAATCTTCACCCACAGCCCATCCAGTTCTCACTAATTGCATTAATTTTGGCTGCCGAACCCTTACTTGGTTGTTTAAATGCATTTGCAAATCACATTATTATGACTAGACCACCATTATTATGACTTTTATTTTTTAAAAATAAAAGGATTTTGAACTAGTTTTTTCACTCCCAACTCACCTCTGAACATTTCACAAAACCTCTTCAAAATAATTCCCTACTCCTACAAGAGAGACAATATTTTCACACCTCAATTAATTCCATAATATAGAAGGGGGGGGGAGGAAAGAGAGAAATTAATGGAAAATATGGTCCTGTGGCCGTTGGGGGAAAAAAAAATCTCCAGCATTTTTCCCAGCTGGGAGAGCCCAGGGAAATAATTTTTAGCTTTGGGAAAGAGAGAGAAACGACTTTTTAATAAAGTTCGAAATAAATAACTTTTTTTTTTTTTGAGGGCTAATAAGAAATGGATTTCGTAATAATCTTTGATGAAAATCGCTGTTCTTGTTCAAAGAAAGAGTGGGGATGGCCAAGATTTTTGGGAGGGGGGAGTGGGGCCATCAAGGGTTGCTGCTCTTCCTGCCGGGTGGGATCGGAGGCAGGACAGCTCTGGAATTGGAGCCAGGCTGGGTGAGGAGCTGAGGGACGTGAGAACCTGATTTGGGCTTGCTGGATTTTCTCTGGAGGGTTTCACCAGCCCCTGCAGAAATGAAACAACAAAAAAAAAAAGGGAAGAATCACCAAGAGGGAGTTTATTCCAATGAAAAGTCAGAATTTACCCCAAATTTCCAGTTGAAACCCCAGCGGGTTTGAGGGTGAAATCTCCAGGTTGTCCAGTGACTGCTCCAACTCATCCAGAGGGGGAGGGACTTTATGGATAAGCAGGCACTGGTTTTAGTGTTACTTTGGAATGCTGGAAGTGTCCAAGGCTGGGAGAGCTGGGAATGTTCACCTGGAGAAGAGAAGGCTCCAGGGAGAGCTGAGAGCCCCTTGCAGGGCCTAAAGGGGCTCCAGGAGAGCTGGAGAGGGACTGGGGACAAGGCATGGAGGGACAGGACACAGGGAATGGCTTCCCAGTGCCAGAGGGTTAGATGGGATATTGGGAAGGAATTGCTGTCTGGGAGGGTGGGAAGGGGCTGGAATGGGTTTCCCAGAGAAGCTGTGGCTGTCCCTGGATCCCTGGAAGTGTCCAAGGCCAGGCTGGATCAACCTGGGATAGTGGGAGGTGTCCCTGCCCACGGCAGGGGTGGCACTGGAGGTTTTTAAGGTCCCTTCCCACCCAGACAATCCTGGGATTCCATGATTCTGGAGCCCCTCTGCTCTGGAGCCAGGCTGGGAGAGCTGGGAATGTTCTCATGGAGAAGAGAAGGCTCCAGGGAGACCTGAGAGCCCCTTGCAGGGCCTAAAGAGGCTCCAGGAGAGCTGGAGAGGGACTGGGGACAAGGCCTGGAGGGACAGGACACAGGGAATGGCTTCCCAGTGCCAGAGGGGCAGGGTTAGATGGAATATTGGGAAGGAATTGCTGGCTGGAATGGATTTCCCAGAGAAGCTGTGGCTGCCCCTGGATCCTTGGAAGTGTCCAAGGCTGGGTTGGATCAACCTGGACAGTGGAAGGTGTTGGGGTTGGAACTGGATGATCCTTAAGGTCCCTTCCAACCCAGCCCACCCTGTGCTCCCACCATTCCATGAAAACGGCTCAAACCTTTCAACCTGTCCCTGGAATTCCCAGCTCCTCTTGGATCCTGGTGCTCAGCTTTGGGTTCCTCAGGGTGGTGGGTGTTGGGACCCCGCCGACCATCAGCAGCAGCAGCAGCTTCCCTGGAGCCGAGAGGGGGAAAGGAGGCCTGGTTTAAACCAGGAAAGGATTCCTGGCTTAAACCAGGAAAGGATTCCTGGCTTAAAAGGGCAATAAAAAAGCAGCTGCAGCATCACTGATGTGGCAGCAGCCACACAACTGGGCCAAGAGGGAGAAATTCATCCCAGCACTTCGCTCCACAAAACCTTCCCACAACCCTCTCCCAGTTTCCAGCCAACACCACAAGAACATTCCTCAGTTTTCATCTCCTGACTGAATTCATCCATCACACATCCAGGTGATCTCCAGCTCTGAGATCAGAATTCCAGCTCCTCGTTTCCAACTCCGTGGCTCGGCACTGTGGGAAATAATTCCCCCTTGGTGAGGAAAAAAATAGGAATTTCCTCGGAAAAAAGCGTTTTCGTGACAAGACAACCCTTGAGCAGCACCCAAAGCACCTCTGACCTGCTGTGTCTCCTGCAAAAAAAGCTCCTCAAAGCCAAAAATCTGGATGATCTGAGGCCCTCCTGGTGAGAACAACCTTGTTCCCATAAAGGCTTCCCGTTCCCATCCACAGACTATTCCAGTTTATTCCACGAAAAGTAAGGAAAAGGCCCTTAAAAGTGGATTTCTCTGGCAATGCTGAAGACATTTCATGATGTCTCTGGTCTGGGTGAGAGAAAGCAGTTTGGAGATTTATGGATCCGGGAAGGAGTTCCAAGGATTATCCGCCCTGCCCTTTCCCAAAGGAATTTCATCCTGTCATTTTTTTTTTTCAAGGTGTTTTTGTGATAATCCCACGATTCAAGAGGTGAAGAAAGTCAGTGGTTCACTGGTTGTTTAATAAATCCATACAATAAGAAGAATAATGGGATATTCCCATTATTTATCCCATGAATAATGGGATAAAACAAGGTGGCACTTCCACGAAAGCAGGTAATTTATCTTTCCTGAAAGAGCAGAAAACCAGGAAAACCGTGGGAGAACATTCCACTTGACAAGTGCAAAGGGAATGCAGGTACTCAGGATTTTCTAGTCCAAGTGTGATAGGGAATTTTAATTTAATTAAGGTTTCTTGTCAAAGCATTATTGTGAGAATAATGTCAAAAATAAGTGGGATAAGTGGAGCTCGTGAGGTGAACCCACCTCTCCTTCATCCTGCAAATTAATTTGGATAATGTGTCTTTAGTCCTTCCCTGAAAGCCAGGGAGGACTAATTAAAAAAAAAAATAAAGTAATTAAAATTAATTAAATAATTAAATTAATTAAAAAATAAACAGAGGACTATTCCAGGTGAAGCAGCCGTTTCATCCTGACCTGACATTTTTTCCCTTTAGGCCAAATTCCCAGTCAGTTTAAGATGGAAAAGAAATGGAAAAACAGGAAGCTTAAAATTAAAAAAAAAAAAAGAAAAAAAAAGAAAAAAAAAGAAAAAAAGAAATAATGAGATGAAAGGATTCTGGGAGCACTAAACAGAAAATAAGTAGAAAGAGCTGAGTAAAAATTGGGCTGCTACAGATCCTGTTTAAATTGGGCTTGCACTGGGCAGCAAATCTAACATGGAATATATCATAAAATACATATATCACTGCACATCATGCCATGATATTCCAGATATTTTACCTAATGATTGTGATTGGAATTAAATATTGGAGCTGCTTGTTCAATGCACTGAGCAGTGGGAAATGAGGCTCTTACTCCACCCCCAAATAATGAAGGTTCAGTGACAGATTATGAAGTTTTTACTCTCCAGGTCACTGAATTTTTTGCTCCTTGCTGGAATAAGTTTCCACATCCTTACAAATGCTTTTCCTGGGAAAAATGAGCAATGAAATACAACAGAAGGGACCTAAAGGGTTGATCAGTGCCTGTGGTGCTTTAAAACACAGATTTAAGATATATTAATTAAGATATATTGCCCTGCAGGACGGTGAGAAATTAAGGTTAAACAGTGAGAAATTAAGGCAAAAAAAGAATCCCTAATTTTATGAGTTCAGCCTCAAAAAATCCCCTGAGAACCGGGTATGGAAAACCCAGGTTACTGTGGGTTAATTTTAAGAAGAGCAGGGAAAAGAAGGGTTAATGAGCTGAGGAAGAAATGGTGCTGTTCCCACCATTAAATAAAAGATGCCAGATTGGGGAAATAATGCCAGAAATTAGGGGTTGGATTTGGTCATCTTGGAGGTTTTTTTCCAGCTTTAATCAGATTATTTCACAGTCCCTGGTCTTGGAAACTCACAATTCCTGGAGGACAATCCATTCATGTTCTCCATTCATGTTCTTACCCCTTGATGGCTTTTTTTTTTTAGTTTTTTTCAGTTTACTCTTTCTCCCATTCCAGGTCTTGAAAGCATAAAATTGGAGAGAAACCACAAAAAAAAAAATAAGAAACCACCTCAATACTAAAAAAATAATAAAAATATCACTATAGGCTGTCCTAGAACATTTCAGAAACGTGAGGGGGCTTCTCACCAATATTTCAGAGGCTTCTACACAACAGCATTAAACTGATTTCTTCCAAATTTTTTCTCCCGTTTGCCTTGCAAAAGGATTATGGAATTTTGCAAATGCACCCAAAAAACCCCCCCAAAAAAACAGATTAGCAGGTTTTTTGTCCTTCTCCTCACAGTTGTTTTGCCACCGTGTCACGAACGGTGCTAAATGAAAACACTGCTGAAGTGAAAACACCCCGGCGTGGTGTTTTATTTCCAGAATAAATCTGGAAAGGCAGATTTGTTCCCATATGCCAAGGGTAGGACCTTTACGACTTCACACTTGTTTGACTTCTGGGTTTTGCCTCCCTGCAATTTATTTCCTCTCAGGAGCTCCCTCTGTTCCCCTTCAGCACATTCCATATCCTGGGATTCTGTGAAATTCAAATTTTTCCGTCCACGGTAAAATTTAAAAGAAACACCTTTTTTTTTTTTTGGCAATTTGAATGACAACTACTAAAACCAGCCAAAGGGATATTTTGGGAGCGTCTCAAGTGATTTTTTTTTTTTGCCAAATTTGGAAAAGGCACCTTTTAATCTTAATTTTATCGCTCCCTTCAGTTCCCAGATAGTTAAAAACACCAGAAGAACCTAAGATCAGAGGTTATAAATAGAGGTGAAGAAAGCATTAGTTTGTTTTTTTTTAGAAATAATCAAAGAGCTGTTGGCTCTCACATCACAAAAAAGTACAGCTTTAGAGCATTGTCTAAATTTAGGAGACCTTAATAAGTGATGAGGAAGCGTGGATTTTTTCACAAGGTAGGTTTGGTGCTTTTAAAGAAGGAATTTTAGGACAGCAAGGTTAGCTAACAATTCTTAACAGAAAAAAGGCATGGGGTGGGAGCTTATAAAGACCCTCAGCATTTCTCATTGCTCTGATTTAATGTGAAAAGCAGGTTATTTAGGTTATTTTAGGAGGTTGTTTAACAGTGATTTTTATGAGGTGTGAGAACATCCAGGTGAAAATACACGGTGTGAGATTTAAATGCATAAATATGCATTGATAGATGTATTTATGATACATTAAATAGGTGTTTAAATACAGCAGGAGAGGTACCCATGGGCAGGGACACCTTCCACCATCCCAGCTTGCTCCAACCTGGCCTTGGACACTTCCAGGAATCCAGAAGCAGCCACAGCTTCTCTGGGAAATCCATTCCAGCCCATGGCAGGGGGTGGAAATGGATGATCTTGAAGGTCTTTCCAACCCAAACCCAATTAGATTAAAGACCCAAAGACCTTTAAGGTAATAAATACCCCAGTGCCACTAAGAAATCAGACCCTGTCCCAACCCACTGGTCATTGCAGGCAAGGTTTTTCTACTCTATATCTTCAATTTTCCCTTTCTTTAGTTCCTTCTTATTAATAATACCTAATAAATAAAGCTCCCCTGCTGCAAGGCCTCAAGCTGTTGTTGTTTCACTGTCAACCAACTGACTGGTGTTCGTTCAGCTGGAAATTCACATCTTAGAAACAAAAATAATATATAAAAAAGGGTAAAAAAAGGAGATATCTCTGCAAAGAAGTCATGCCTGACAGGTAAGGAACACATGGATTCATGTGGCAGCCCCAGTGTGGGCACAGGGCAGAGGGCACAGGGCAGAGGGCACACCTGGAATGCTGTGTCCAGTTTGGGGTCCCTCAATTCAGGAAGGACACGGAGGGGCTGGAGCGTGTGCAGGGAAGGGAACAGAGCTGGGAAGGGGCTGGAGAATTCCTGAGGGAGCTGGGGGGGGGCTCAGCCTGGAGAAAAGAGGGATCAGGGGGGACCTTCTGGCTCTGCAAGTCCCTGACAGGAGGGATGAGCCGGGGGGGATGTCGGGCTCTGCTCCCAGGGAACAAGGGACAGGAGGAGAGGGAATGGCCTCCAGCTGTGCCAGGGGAGGTTCAAATTGGATATTAGGGAAGATTTCCTCATGGAAAGGGTGGTCAGGCATTGGAAGGGGCTGCCCAGGGCCACAGTGGAATCCCCATCCCTGGAAGTGTTCAAACAAGGTGCAGATGTGGCACTTGGGGACACGGGTTTGGGCTTTGCAGGGCTGGGTTAACGCTCGGTCCCGACGACCTCAGAGGCTTTTTCCAACCTTAATGATTCCATGATCCTCATATTTGGGGGGAATTTGGTGCTCTTGGTGACTGGTTAATGTCTGGCTGGAGATGTTTAGAAGTTGTCTTTGTGTTCAATAAACTCAGTAAATACTTCCAAGACAAGCCACGACAGGATGAGAGGAAGTGGCCTCAAGTTGTGCCGGGATGAATTTTAGATTGGATATTAGGGAAAATTTCTTCATGGAAAGGCTTGTCACAGGCTGCCCAGGGCAGGGGTGGAGTCCCCATCCCTGGAGGGGTTTAAAATCCCTGTGGATGTGGCACTTGGGGACATGGCTTAGGTGTGAGGGTCACAGCGCCAGTTAAAGGTTGGACTCCGTGATCTCCGAGGTCTTTTCCAACCTTAAGGATTCTGTGAATCCACGACTCCAGAATTCCAAAACTGAAAAGCAAAATCACATTGAAGTCAAGAGGGTGACAAGACAAAAGGACCTTCAAGACAAACCCATGAAAATCTTCTGCTCACAGCAAGGAAACCCAACCTGAGGAGTCTCAACTCCATAGACCAGGAGCTCCAGAGAAACGGGAAAGGGTCGGAATTTCCTCCAGCTCAGAAAAGCAAGACTTGACACTATAAATCCTCCTCTCAGTGCTGCTGCTCTTGCTCACTCCAGCTCTTTCAACAACATTTAAATGAAATCAAGAGATTACTCATTAACTAACAGCCTGATGTGACTGTAACTTCAACCCAAGGCCTTATTTATTACACTCAGACAGCTCCTGAGAACCCTCAGAGCAAACCCTGACATTCCATGAGGCAAAGAGACATCAAAATCACTTTAATTACAAGCTCTTTCAGCAACATTTAGAAGAAATCAAGAAATTAAT